TTTATTGTCATTACCAGAAATCAGAACACTGTCCGAAAAAAAAATGATCTACAGGGGTGTGAAAGCTTGAGAGGAATTAAGCTGATGTTAGTTCCCGAAAAATATTAAGTAGAATTATTTCAGAAAGAAGAAAAGATGCTATTGATAAAAAGCTTAAAGATGAACAGGCAGGTTTTCGTCCAAACAGATCATGTACTGACAAGCTAGCCACATTACTTATAAAAATAGAGCAGACCATTGAATTGAACTCAAAACTTTACATTGGATTTATAGTCTGTGAGAAAGCATTTGACAGCATTGATAGGGAATCTATCTGGAAATTGGAGGGGCACTATGGAAACTCACAAAAAATTATTAACTTAGTAACGGCAACGTAGAAAGACATGAAATGTCGAGTTTTTCATGAGGGAAAGCTAACGGATGCATTTGAAATAAAAACAGATATGCGTGCGACAAGGATGTTTTTTATCATCTCTCTTGTGTTTATTGGCAATAGACTGGATTATGAAGACATTAACTGCTAACACCAAAAATGGAATTCAGCGGACCCCTAAAAAACAGCTTGATGGTATGGACTTTGCTAGTGATATTTCTCTTCTGTCCCATTCATGAAATCAGATGCAAGATAAATGTAATATTCTTGAAGCGAGTTAACAGCACCTAAGTCGGAAAATCCGTAAACGAAAGACAAAGGTAATAAGAATAAATCAGGCAAATAGATATGTGGTTTGTCTTAATGGCATTACACTCCAAGACATAGAGTAGTGCACTTGTTTGGGCAGTAATGTAGATTAAGATGGGGAAACTGATATAAATATTAAAATAAAAATACATAAAGCAAGAGGAGCTTTCATAGCACTAGGGAATTTGTGGAGGTCAAAAGAAATACTATAATTCAAATGTTTCATTCTGTCAAATCAGTACTTTTGTTTGGGGCGGAAACATGGAGAACAACTATGGTGATTATTAATAAACTACAGACATTAATAATACTATGATATAATCACTAATGTAGATCTTTGGGAGAGAACTAAGCAAGCTCCAGTATTCCAAAAGGTGAAGAAAAGTACCTGGCGTTGGATAGGACACACATTGAGAAAACCGGAGAACAATATAACTAGAATGTCTTTGAACTGGAACCCACAAGGGTATATGAATAAAGGAAGGCCAAAATACACGCTTAGAAGGGAGCTGGAGATTGAAGTTAGAAAGATGAGGAGGCCATGGGGAGAGTTGTATGCGATAGCAAAGGATAGAACGACTTGGCCTGAGTTGGTTGAGGGCCTTGAACATTTGGGGGCTAGAAAGGTAGAAGAACGATGTAAATAAAGGTTTGGTGTGAAATAGCGTAAATTGTAATATGTTCACTTACACCTGTTTTATAGTCGCTATAATATAATCCTCAAGAAAAAAAAATTATTACCTTTAAAAAAAAAATATATAGTGGCTAGATATTTCCCTGTTTGAAAGATCAAAAGTAGTTATTTATCTTTCCTATAAGCCAATATTTATAATCAGCCTTCTCCCCAGCCCCCCGAGCCGTCTTTTTGTTGTTGTTACTCGTGCCAGTTATGTTCCACTAATATGTAATCATTCAAGCTGTAATCATACTTACTGAAGTCTTTATAATCATAGGTAAACGCACTTTATACTAACAACTACAAGAGAATTGAAAGATACCCTGCAGACAAGGGAATGTATAGATATTAAGGCGCGTACTTAACAATTTGTACAGTGCTAAAATAATGATTGAACAGTAACATATTATTACTGGCGAATTGTTTTCCTAAAGAAATAATAACCATGGGTCACTTGCACTGTTTCCCTATATTTTAGTTCATTCTAGTAAAATATCCTCATTAACAAATAACACGCTTTAAGGCATCCATAAATTGTTATTAATTAGTTATAGTTAACATGTATTTGTAAAAGAAATACAAATTCCTATACTTCAGGAAGGCTATCATATATCGCGTTTATATGCATATTTAAACTCCAGAACTATGTTTTCAATGTAAATACTAAAGAGTTAAACGTAAATGACATTTATAACCGATTGATTATGTAAGGATATTAATGGCTGTAAAAGTTCTCATGAGAACGAAAAGAATCATTATTATCCCTGATTGTGTGTGATGTTTCTGCTTTTTAAAATATAATTTTTTTGGTTACATATTATGTACACATAGGTATAGATACTGATAAACAGCAGTCAGACAACCACATATAATGTTATAGCAGTTCCACAGACAAATACTTTTGAGTAGCCAGAAATGGCGACACATAAAGACAGATCTGAGTAGGGATAGAATTCCATAGAAACTGTAAACAAGTATGTTCGGACATAAATGAAGGCAGGTAGACGAAAATCGCAGAGATAAACCTTTCGGCATACAAGCATGCAAACACATTCAAATGCAGTTAAAAAATAAAACAAAAATCGGAACTTGCATCGCCTCCAACACCCACGCCCACAGACACACACACACACACTTATACACACATATACGCACACATATATATTGTTCATGTATGGTGGTTCGAATTCATGTTATAATTTTGAGCTCAATATGGAAGAGGGGGGGGGGGGCAAATGTAATTTGAAAGTTTATGGTGTATCAAGGCAGACCATGCCCTTGGCTTGCAGCTGGTCTAGGTGAGAAGCTGCGGCAGCCAGACTGATAATGCAGTACTATTTTAACCAGGCAGCTTCTGCAATATATACTGTTCAAATATTTTTTGGCGTTTTCATTGCTTTAGGGTCGAATGGCCGGCTGAGATAGGAGCATGACGCATGGGCGACGTATAGTCTCTACAATACTGCTCAAGCTGTGTGCTGTGAAGAGGAGGATCTTCCTTCTTGACCTTAACTGTATATAAACAGATGGGGGACCTATGAGGCCGTTGAATATTATGAATTAATTAGGTAACAGAAAGTGTATTGATCGGCACTCATAGAAAGAGTGCCGATCAATACACTTTCTGTTACCTGACCTTAACTGGCATCGGAATCTAGTCAAGAGCAGCAGTTACTGGTTTTAAGTTCTTGTCAATTAGTTTTTCAAGATAAATAGGTGGTATATTGATCCATTGTTTATCCAATGAAAGCCTCTACAATGCACTAAGACTGAAAGCGAAAACGAATGTTAGGAAGCTACTTATTAATGAGCAGCCCCCGAGGTCTAGCGGATAGACTCTCACCTGTGGATCAAAAAGTCATGGGTTTGGTTCCTGACGAGGGTCGGGCTTTTGTCCAAAAAAAACCGTTGGCTCACAGGTCGACGCAGCTTAAAGTGGGTGCCAAGTAGAGTCCCAGGAAGTAATTATGGCCTGCGTGATGCTGACCACATCACTCACCAAGTGCCGTTCGGTCTATAAAATATAAGTCTAGCCCTATATACCTAATACGCCTGAAACGCATGGAAAAGGGTCCTCTACTTTACTTACTCATAAATGAGAAAACTGGTCTTTGCATATGATGCTGATTTTACCGCCAACTCAGAGATGGAATTGCGATGTCTACATTTTAATATGAATTTGGATTAACATATTAAAAACTGAAGATAGGATCATGGTGACGAATTGAATTCTATTGACAGCCCTGCTGTCTACATTGATGGTGAAGATATGGGGACAGTTTATCATTATAAATATTAATGATGATAATCGATATATTGTTTTATCCACTTTTATGTGGTAGATATATCGTTGCGTAGTCTGTGCTTACTGTTTGGAGAAAGGACAGAGTCTAGACTTATTAATAGGTACTCGTAACTTTAAACAATGATTTACACCCGAGCGTTACTTATTGTGTTATGGTTACAAACTATTCACGTTGCCCCATCATTCTCTCTCTCTGTCTCTGTCTCTCTTTCTCTCTCACTCTGTCTCTCTCTCTGTCTCTCACTGTCTCTCCCTGTCTCTCTCTGTCTCTCTCTCTTTCTCTCTCTCTCTGTCTCTCTCTGTCTCTCTCTATCTCTCTCTGTGTCTCTCTCTGTCTCTCTCTCTTTCTGTCTCTGTCTCTGTCTCTTTCTCTTTCTCTCGCTCTCTTGTTGTACCCCACCAGGACATCACAAAAGCGATAAACACCCGGTGACACAAAGTGCCACCATGTGGATAAGGACCACCTGTGAAAATTCCCAGAAACACCGCGGCTATATTTAGCTGCCCCGGCAAAATAAACAAAGAAAATTCATCCCACATGTGGACGACACGACATTAGGCTTCTGACCCATCATTCTTTCGGTCCTTGCATTCATTTACACGGCAACTGTGTTTTACCGTATACCATGTTACGTCCGTATAACATTATTCACACCGTAATAGTACGTACTAAGATATAATAATATTATTAAAGGTTAGTTGCGTATCCTTTACAGGACGTTGCAGATCCAACCCCAGCAGCCCCTGGCTGCTGTTTAGTTTCTCTCATTTACATCCAGTGGTTTGCCATTGCTTCTGGACGGTCAGCACCTGATACCATTGTCGAAACCAACGCAAGGCGCATGGCCCGCAGCTGGGATCGAACCCGGCACCCCGGCATTTTAAGCGTTTGCATCGACTTAGCCACAGAGCCGTAAAAAAATATTATTACATATAATATATATCTCAACAAGGTCGTTTGTTCGCTCCTTGGCGGAGCCAGGCTTTTTTTTAAAGTGACATTGACTCCCATGTCAACCCAGCCTTGAATAGGTACCGGATGCAGTCCCGGGAAGTAAAGGCAGCCGGCGTGATGCTATCCACATCACCAATCTTGTGCCAATTGGTCGATAAAATATAGGTCTAGCCCTATATGCCCTCAACACCTAAAGGTGTGGACAAATGTCCTTTACTAGAACGTGTTAGGAAGATATCGGGGCCGAAGCATTTTTCGAAGTCAGACTTCTTCTGAAGATCTGATAATTCCTGTTATGTTTCTTCATTCAATGAGTCCTTCTATAAATAATATGATTGCGCATGTGTGTGTGTGAGTGTGTGTGTTTGTGTGGTGTGTATGTATGTGTAATTGTGTGTTTCATAGACCATCACATCCATATTGTTTCGAAGTCATTTCACTAAAGTCGAACCTCTGGCCGTTAACCTCATCAAGCCATATTTATTTACTATTTTTTTTTAATGAGACAAATCCAGAAAACATTATAACTACAATGAAAAGTACTATAAATGTATCACACATATACATTATAATAGTGGACGACACTGCCTCGCAGGCTCAGTCTGTTGCACTCATAAGTGATGAAATAATAACTATACTGAAGTGGATCGTATATACCGTTGTGTGTCAGCTAGTTAACGGCTTTGGCATAGTAACCAACATCATCAATATCGCATGTTTTATCAAGCAAGGTTTCAAGGACACCACAAATATTTGCCTAATGGGTAATGTATAAAGCTTGTCTTGTTGCTTTAAAAAAGCTGTGTTAATGTACATATCTGGGTGTGTGTGTGTGTGTATATATATATATATATATATATATATATATATATATATATATATATATATATATATATACTAGCTGTACCCGGCCACGCGTTGCTGTGGCCCAGAATGGTGAAATGGAAAAGAACGAAAATAGCTCTCAGCCAACAGTGTCTGGTATAACCCCCCCCCTCCCTTTTCTCCCAATCATATCTCCCTCTCCGAAGTATTGAAAAATCATTACCTGGCGAAAGAAATAAAAAAGAAAGAGTCATTAATCCCCCTTACCACACCCCCTCCCCCACTAATCCTATCATTCTCTCCGAAGAATAGGAAAGTCATCATCTGACGAAATATTGTATCTAAATTGAGCTTGGCATCTGTGGCCATCCAGACTAAAATGGGTATCATTAATTTGTACTGAGAAGTAAATGTGGCCTGTGAAACAGCTATCACATCATCCATCCAGTACCAGTACTACTGCTACCACTACCACCACAACCGTCACAACAACAACAAAAACTGTCACTACTGTCTGTGTAGGTCTGTGTAGGCAGATGAGCTAGAGCCGCATGCTGTCGCCACGGATTGTTAAGTTCAATTTTGCATCCGACATAGAAAAAAAAATATAAATATATTCCGTGATTACAACAACAAAAAAGTACACTATACTCAGAAATAGCAGAGAAAAATACCCCGCACCCGTCATCTCTCCCTCTCCGAAGGGACGATATTTAAAAAACCTTGGCATCTGAGTCAACCCAAACTAAATTGGACTGTAAGCCGTCTTAGTTAACAGTGTCTGTCATCGCCGAATAGTTTTTGATCGAGCGTTCGTGTGGAGGCTAATTGGAACGTTACTGAAATAAGATGTCTGTGGGCGAAAGGCGCAGATATCACAGCCTAGCTGTAAACCACAACACAACGTGGCAACCACCCTTTTTAGGGAAAAGAACAATTATCACCCAGTGGGGAGTCGAACACTGGTCACCCGCGTAAAGGGTGGCATACTTACAACTATACTACCGAAGACTGAAGAGTTTGGGTCAGATATCTCAGCCTAGCTGTAAACCACAACACAACGTGCTACGGCTCTCTCAAAGGCGAACGAAGATTACCAGTGACACCATGACATGTGCATTGAGCATCACGTCACAGCTATCGCAGGCTAGCTGTAAACCCAAAAAACCGAAAAAGCCGTAGATATGGCAGCCGCCCAGGTTTAGGGCCACACACAAAAATTACCTAATTGATAATCGAACGCAAGTCACCCGCATGATAGGCGGAATACTTACAACTACGCTACCAAAGACTCAAGTAGTTGGTAGAAATGAAATTATTTAATTATACAAAGTTCAATAAGAAATAATGTCTCAGGTTCCGGTCTTTACATGTCCAAATACTCAGTCAGGAAATGGTCGTGTGCATAACGAACGTAGATCAATCAAGGCAGTTCAACTCCACCGTCATTTGCAATGCACAATAATATTTTAGAAAAAAACAAAATACAAAACACAATGTGGAAAAACAAAGTATGCTCGCGAACGCAAATAAGAAGTGTTTGAAAACCCAAGCTAAGGTGAAAAAAAAAAAACCCAAGCAAAACATAGGCCAAAAAAGAACACGAAAACAAAAAGCCAAGAACGATAAATAGTATAAAATCTATAGTAACGACAGGAACAACTATACATTGTTGGAAAAAAGGATACATTAAAACATAACAAAAAGTAAACAATGCTGCAAAATGTGAACCCAAGGCGTCATAAAAATATCTGGATCATTGGGGAAATGTCACTTATTGCCAGCCCTGCTCAGTAGTCAAAAAAGATCCAATCAACTGAAAACACATGATCTTTTCGTCCTTTTTAGGATGAATTTTTTCTTTATTTGAAACCCTACTCTGGCTCTTGCAAGGGCCCGCAATATAGCCTGGCCATAAAAATGGCCTAAAGGCTGAACGCGGTTTTTGGGACCTCTCCACTGTGATCCTCACCCACATGGTGGCACATTGTGTCATCGGATGTTTATCGCTTGTGTGATGTCTTGGTGGGGTAGAAAGTCAGTCAGTCAGTTAAAAACAAATCCCGGCCGACAACGAAACAAATAATGATTTGACCATTGCTGGAGCTACGTCATTTACGGTTTGTGCGATTTTCTGACATAAAAACATGCTTTGAATTTTAGGAAACGTTGTGTGAAAATTTGAAAGCAATCGGTCTAGTAATTTTCGAGTCTATATATAACAGACTCGGAAAATTTACATTTTTATTAATATATATATATATATATTGGCAGATTGAAACCGGAACTGTGTAGGCAAAAAGAAATGGTCGTTGGCCTACGCTTACCTTGGTGAAACAGTTTAAATGTACTCGAATTTGTGTTTCAGTTTCTAGGATTCAGCTATTTGCTTCATTTTAATCAATTGTTACTGTAGTATGCACCTGACGAGATACAGCGAAATATGCCAGGCAATAAATGGTGCAGTCTATTGTTTGTGTCTTCTTTGTTCAAATTCACATTGGGGAAACATTGCTTTGATAGTTTATAATTGTTTTTTGGGATGCTACCAGTGTCAGACCAACCTACGTACAATGAACACCTGCGAAATGAGATGCCCGACAAAAAGAGCCGATTAACAATGTTGGAAATGATATTATCAGACTGTAGGGACAATACCCTGCAGCAAATTCATTGAGAAACAGATGATCATATGGAATGGTTTTTTTAAAAAGAATGCAGCCAAAACAACTACAAATGCAGGCGCTACACATTAAAAGATCTGAAGTGAACGCAAGCGGTCGCCCTAGGAAAAAGAAAAAAAAGAGCAATAGATCGCAGCTCTTTCTCCCCATTGAGCTTAACGACAAAAAGGGAAATTGATGATAATGATGATGATAATAATGATGATGATGATGATGACGATGATGTATATCCTATTAATGTATTATTGGTCATTGCATGTGACATTGTTGGCAGCCGTCATATTTCATGACGATATTGGTATTTATAAGGGTCCTGAAGGCATTTGAGTCGTTGAATGGTGATCACTAGTGCAGCTTGCAAGACCTCCTCCCTTTAAGAAAATTCGGCCACATTTGCTCTGAAACAGTACAGTCAACATATAGTCCTATCACATGTGTTTTATGGCTCAGTACGTGGGGGGGGGGGGGGGGGGGGGGGGGGAGGTGAGGGGGAAGCAGAAACGGAAAACTCTGGGCTATCAAAGGAATTTTAAGGATTCCTAATTAAAAGCCCACTTTTAAAGCCTCAAGAAAACAGTTGGCTTTTTTAATAGCCACAGTTTAAATTTATATTTGTACAGAAGGCGATAATTTTCTTTTAAACTTCTACTGACGTCATTGCATGTTCTTCATTTGTGTGTGTGTGTGTGTGTGTGTGTGTGTGTGTGTGTGTGTGTGTGTTTGTTTTCAATAATATAAAATGCCAGTTTTGGGAATCAAAAATCATATTCCTACAATATTAACAAATATATTCAAATTCCCTTTTGTATGCAAGATATATTACAAACATTTGATTACACAGAACTAGTGCAACTTATATGGAGGTTGAACAGAATTTGTGATTTGCCCTGTTGGTCTGCCACCCATCATGTGCTGATGAAAGCTTCGGACACTCTCTCCGTATGCAGTCTTCCCAACTGTATCTATTACCCATTATCCTTTACCTTCAACCTGGAAGAGTCAATGGGTTCCTCAAGGGGTTGCATTTTTTATGTTGTCTGGTTAACCATAAGTCAAAGTACACGTCTTTCTTTGTTCGAGGCATCTTGGTTATATGAAAGCTATATTTTCGATTCCCGCATTGATAACAACAGCTTTCGATTGCTACATTTTCTTTTACATATTTCCTTCTTATAAGAATATGTACAATAAGATTTTTACATTACAATTATGTTTTTGATTTTATTTCAATTTTTAGGTTTAGCAATTTCAGACCTAGGAAGCCTTGTTACCGTGGCGTGGACGAATATATGTATGAACCCAGCTTTCAGTGCCTCGGGTCTGGGGTTCGATACTGTAGAGGTACAATACATGACCGGTGCCATGCCTCACTTCACGTTCACTCGCATCACTGCATGGATAACTGCAGTTATCACAGTTGAAAGATGTCTCTGTATAACCATGCCTTTAAAGGTAAATAAAGGGCCTTCGTCCATGATTTCAAGTGGATTTCAAGCATTTAGGGTTAGATCTATATTTTCTTGATCAAACGGCCCTTGATGGGTGATGTCGCTAGCATTAAACCGACCGCTTTTACTTCCTATGACATTTACCTGTACCAAAATGAAGCTAGGTCTACCTGAGAGTGAATGTCTTTTCTTTGAAAAGTGTCCAGCAGTGTTCTGACAGGAACCCACACCATTCAGATCCACGGCCATGCATCTAGCTGCTACACCACGGCGGCTGTTCAGAGATATGCGAGTGGCTAAATAAAATTAACAGCACAGTGTAAACTGAAGGAGCCTTGTCATTGCCATTGAAGCCTCTGCTATTTAATGCTAGACACCCATTTTTAGAGACCAGTTGTCACCTAATGAATTATGTGGTCCTTACACGTTAAAAAAGAAGGTTGGCAGCAATAACGCATCCCTCTTCCCCCACCCCTCACCGCTCCCCTTTTTAAAACAAATTCTACTACATCACCCCGAGTCTATTTGTTTATCTCATTATATTATTCTTAGCAAAACAACCCCCCCCCCCCCACCACCCATCCCCTTTTGCATCCCTTTTGTTTATTCTTTCTTTTTTTTTCACCTCTGGCCTGTATAGTTTTTGTTGAAAGATGTTTACCGTGCTATATTTACTGTGTTAGATTCTCAATTCCTCTCTTTCTCACCGTCGCTTTATCTCTCTCTCTCTCCCTTTCTCTCCCTATCAGTCTCTCTCTTTCTCTGACTCTCTATCTCCGTTACAGTCTCTCGCTCTGTCTCTCTCTC